ATATATATATACTATATATATATAATATATAAATTATAAATGTTATATATACAGAGTGTTCCGAAATTCGAGGACAATATTATTACAGCATAAAACTTTGTGAAAAAAATTAATGAAAATGCATTCCATTTTTTTGCCGCAAAATAGTTTTTTATAAATGTTTAAAATTGGGCCAATCCTAATTGTTGATTAAAAAGTCATTTGCCCACGTGACATGTGTGCAATGGTATTAGATGTCGAACACTTCGAATACTGTCCTGAACTTTGGACAAATGACTTTTTAACCAACAATTAAAATTGGCAATTTTAAACATTTATACTTAAAAACTACTTTGCGACAAAAAAAATGGAATGTACTTTTATTACTTAATTTTATTCACAAAGTTTTACGCTGTAATAATATTATCAAATTTTGGGACATCGTGTATATGTATTATGTATTATATATGTATAAATTGTACGTTATGTATATCCACTATTATATGTATATCAGGAATAAATAATTTTATATTATTTTTATATTTATTTAATAACAAATAAAGCAAAACTTTTACATCTTAAGCTATCTATATTTGACAGACAATGAAATGACTTTTATTAATGAAAATAATAAAAAATTTCTATACATGAAATACATTTATACATATATACATACATATGTTTTAAAATAAAAATTGCTACAGTCTTTAAAGTGACAAAAAAATATCGCTAAATAATAATCTAATAATACCTTGATTTGCAATACTTGCTAGTATTAATGCAATAACATCGATGATACAGAAAATTTTGTGCATTCTCACTGGTGCATTTAAGTATCTCATAAAGCATTTCGATGGTACTGGATATTCTAGCATAGTATCCTTTGTTATGTTGACATGCTTGTATTCATTCAGAATAGCGTTTAATCCATACATTATGGAGCTAAAACAACCGAAGCCCAAAACTAAACAACAGAGAGTCCTTCCCATAAAAGCATGTTTTCGCATGATAGCACGCTCTTTTATGTTTTCAATTGTGAAGTAATCCTCCATAATAGATTTATAATTTGTAGCCAAATTTTTGGCGTAAATGCGAAACCATATCGCCTTCAGCACACCAAGTATTGCGCAACATATTAACATGAGACAATCTACGCTTGTCTCCGCGTCCGTGCAGCCCAAATAAACTTCGAAACTGGATTTGATGAGCATGAAGGCCTATTGACATGTTTTTATATATAATATCTAGACACTAGTATACGTTATCTTTAAAGGATCGTGCGACACTGATCATTGAGGCAAAACTCACAAGATGCATACCGGACCAGAAATGCCCACGACATATCGTATCAATGAATAAACATTATGAACTTGAAATGGCCAGATACCGATGGACCACGCTACCAATTTAAAAGGAGTTATCGCGTATGCGACATCGTCCTTCCATCGTTCACTAGCCATTGGGTTAAGGTAATGACTGTAACTGCTATCAATAACCGGTGATATGTTTGGTATAACGTCCGTCTGTGTTCCGGCTCATTTCTTATTCATCTTAAAACCTGTATTGACCTACCTCTACTATGCTCTTAACACATTATCACAGAATATAGAGAACTGTGTTGTGCAAAATTGTTGCTTTATAAGAATTTATGTTTTTTTTTTTAGTCATGCCTTATCGAACAATTCTTTCCTGCTATGAGTTGTCAAGAAAAGAACTTTATCTCTCGTTTATACTATGTGTAGTCTGAGTTCCGATATTAGTTTTTTCATATTATATTTTTTCTTAGTGTTTTCATATTATTTTGAACGTGAATGTGTAGATTTACTTTTTCCAAACATGAAAATGTACTGTGTAGTAGATTTTTTGAATTCTAATAATAAAATTAATTTTATATATGTCAATAATTTTTTATACTCTGACAAAACATCTGTGTCAAATAAA